CCTCTCTCCTGGCTTCTTTCTAATAATAATAATACTAATATTATAAATTCAATAATAAGTAATCTGCTTTAATATTGTAAACATGTAATTCAGTTTTAATGCAACACTTTTGTATGTTTTTAATTGTACTGCTCTTTTAAACTGTAAGCCACTCCGAATCCCAGTTTTGGGGGAAAGCAGGATACAAATACAGTTTTGCCCTCCACATTTGCGGTTTTGATTTTTGCGGATTTGATTATTTGTGGTTTTTATTAATAATTTCTCTCTAAGAATCTCAGCACAACTCAGCACAAAAATCAGAATCATACAAGCCATCATATTCCCTATTACCATGTATGGATGTGAGAACTGGACAGTTATGAAAGATGATAGGAAGAAAATCAATGCATTTGAGATAATGTGGTGCTGGAGAAGAGTGCTGAGGATCCCATGGACAGCCAAAAGGACAAAAAAGTGGGTCCTAGAGCAGATCAAACCGGAAACCTCCCTGGAAGCCAATATGACAAGACTTAGACTGTTGTACTTTGGACACATCATGAGAAGGGAAGACTCTTTGGAAAAGACAATAATGCTGAGGAAGGTGGAGGGAAGTAGGAAGAGAGGAAGCCCATATGCCAGATAAATGGGCTCTATTAAGGATGTCACGGGTATTAAGGGGTTGCAGGAATTAAGCAGAGCAATGGAGGACAGAGGAGATGTCCCATCCACAGGGCCTCCATGAGACTAGATAGACTCAAGGGCAGTTAATAACAACAACAAAAGGAATATCTAAGTCCTCCAGCGCAACCCTGCCAGAAGTTGATCATAGAGTTGTTCTGGAGGACCTACAAGTTCCTAGAGAAAAAACTTCTCTAGGCATTTGTAGGTCCTCCAGCATGATTCTGTGGTCAGCTTCTGGCAGAGGTTGACCACTGAGTTGCAATAAAGATTCTTCTCTCAGGTAAAAATAATAGTATTTTTTTTTTAATTTGCGTTTTTTCCACATTCACGGTGGTCCTTCACCCCTAACCCTAGTGAATGTGGAGGAACTACAACAACAACAACAACAACTTTAAACCAAATCAGGGCATGGATCCATCTGTCTCTGTAGCTTGTTCTGCTTCTGAGAGTCTGGGGGAAAGTCTTTTTCCAGTCATGCAAAGATTGACTTTCACTTGGAGGGATGTCAGGGAAGCTGTGGTTTTCGCAGGGCGCCTGAATCTCTTCACCTGCCTTGTTTCTGCTCCTTACCCAGGTAGAGATCATTCCCAAGACAGATAGGAAGAGAGGCATAGCAAGGCGAGGCATCTCCTGGGATGCCTGCCCGCAAATGGCGTGGCAAGGCAGCTGAGGGAATGTTCCAGCTGCAGCAGCAACTGGTAGCCACATCTGGCAGCTAAATATACCAGGTGTTGGCCCTGGAGACAAAGGCCCAATCTGTTCCCAGCACATCGGGTAGCAAAGCACAGGGAGGTGGGGCTGTCTCTGGGGCAACGCCTAAGCAAACTAGGACTCTATTGCCAAGTACACCAAGGACCAGGATAAAGATTTAAAGGAACAAGCCTCCATTCCACAGGCTGAAAGGCTAGTGGGGCAGAAATGCTGCAGACGATAGGGTGGGGAATTGGCAAAAGAGGGTTAAAAGCAGCAGCATGAGAAGAACTTTTTTAAAAAATATATCAGAATGAAATGAGATGCATAAGCAACAGACAAGATAAAACAGTGGCCAGGAGCAGAGGCTGGAAAGTCACTTTTTGGACTATAGTTACCACAACAATTGTGATTTAGACTACAGTTCCCAGGATTTCCAACCAACATGGTCAGTGGCTGGGGACTAAGCGAGCTGAAGTCCAAAAAGTAACTTTCCCAAGCTCTAGAAGGCTAACTCAACATATATCTCTCCAGGAAATGAGAGGTAAAATGAGACACCCTATTCCAGTCACATACGCGAGAGCCAGGATGGCATAGTGGTTTGAGTGTTAGACTACAACTTTAGAGACCAGGGTTCGATTCTCTGTTCAAGCATAAAAACCCACTGGGTGACCTTGGGCAAGTCACACTACTCAGAGGAAGGCAAAAGGAAAGACCCTATGAAGAGACCTGCCAAGAAAACCATATGATACCTTAGGGTCCCCATAAGTCAAAAATGACTTGGAGATACACAACAACAACAATAGCGTATTCTTACATTTTTTAAAAAACTGAACAGAATACAGAATACACAACAACAACAGCAACAGAAACCAAATACAATGATTCTTTAATATACATATATATATATTTGCCAATAGTTTTATTGGATTTAACATTAACAGAAAATGGAGGGATGAAGTGGGGACATGAGCAGAATCATTCGAGTCATCAAAACTGACCACAGAGTTGAATTAAACATGTCTGTACAAAAGAAGATCAAGTAAAATGTGATAATACAATGATCCTCGAATCCTGTTGCCAACAGAGCAGTGTCCTCTAACACATTTGAAGAAAAACAGCTCGCTTAGGGGATAGAAGATAGGACCCATAGCTCTGTTCTTCAGCACATGGCTGTTCCCCCACACCTTCTGTTACCTAATGCAGGCCCTTGATATTGATTAGATACAGGTTTATTCAACATGCAAGTTTATTATGACTGGTATGTTCATTATGACTAGTGTCATGGTTCCTTCCTATGGAATTCTGGGATTTGTAGTTTGTTGTGGCACCAGAGCTTTTTGACAGAGAAGGCTAAATATCTCACAAAACTATAAATCACAGAATTTCATAGCACTGAGCCATGGCAGTTAAGCAGTGTCAAACTGCATTAATTCAGCAATGCAGATACAGCCTGGGAGAGCTTTGTATGTGCTACACAGCCTATTTTCTTCTGCTAAATAAAATATCTGCTGCTGAGCTCAGTTGGGGTGGCGGCAAGCCTATCACCAACACTGAATTCAATGGGCAATTGAATCCCCTTCTCTGTGTGGACTGGGGAGGGTGTGTGTGTCTTGTCCAGACAACAAAGCATCTTGGTCCAGCACTGCTCCCATGAGTATCAGACTATATAATGCAGACCTTGATGTTCTGCAATAAAGAACAGGTGGACCAGAGCAAACAGTGGCAGATAACTCCAGCCAGCCAGCCAAGCTACATATTTGAAACAGACAGATCAATTAAACAAATGAAACAGTCTCTGTAGAGTGTAGCTTTACTTCCACTGATCTGTCATTTTGGACACTATCCCTGCCAGTCTATAAGTCCAAGTGTCATTAGATTAGTAATTATTGTAGAGGTTGTTATAAAACAGTTAAAATTTATTTATTTTTTTTAAAAATGTTAACTTCAGGCTTTGTGATCTTTGGTTGGTCCCAATAAAGGTTTTTGTGATATTTTTCATAGGTCAGGGTTTGTTTTTTTCTACCCTCTTAAGGGACCAAAACTGTCATATTTACTATTTTTATTAGTCTGCTTTAGACAAGAGTAAATTTAACAAGGCAGAAAGAACAGAAGGGGAATCATAGTGCTTAGGTATTCTCTTCTGCTCTCCAAGGCTGCATCTACACTGCAGAATTAATGCAGTTTGATACTGCTTTAACTGCCATGGCTCAGTGCTACGTGAGATATTTAGCCTTCTCTCTCAGAGAGCTCTGGTGCCACAACGAACCACAAATCCCAGGATTCCCTAAGAGGGGGCCAAGAAAGTTAAAGACATGTCAAAACTGCATTAATTCTCCAGTGTGGCAGCAGCCTAAGTCAGCTGTCCCAATCCCAGTATCTTCCAGATAGATGGGTTTACAACAGGGGTAGGCAACCTTTCCCCTTTAAGGGCCGAGGGACTTCAGCTCCCAGAATCCCAGGAGCTATTGGCCAACATGGGACTATTGGCCAACATGGCTGAGGCTTCTGGGAGCTGAAGTCCCTCGGCCCTTAAAGGGGAAAGGTTGCCTACCCCTGGTTTACAATTTCCATCACTTAGCCAATATGACAATTGCCATGCTAGCTAGACATGATGGGAGTTATAGTCCATCACAGCTGGAGGGTGTTAGTATCAAGAAAGCTTGTTTAAATGTCTAAGCAGGATGAGAAATACATGCTCTCCAGCTACTACATTATGTTATCCAACTTGGCGCCCAACAATTCCATAACAACCTTGGCTGGCATTCTGCTTGGGACTTAACATCTTTGTAAGTGGCTGTACATGTGCACTTGACTGGATTGAGTAGTTTTGCAACTTCCACATCCACCTAGGTTTTGCTGTGACATTACAAAGTGTGGGTGGCCATTGTGACTGACATGCTACAGCCCAATGTGCAATGAGCACTGATGAACATCACTGATGAGCATCAGGGCACTGGTTACGAAGTGCCAGAACACAACTGGATTGCCCAAAGCCCATTAAAAATGTTCAGTGTGCATTGGAGCACTTTTATCTGGATGTGCATCTTTGCAATTCACTTACAGGGTTTCATTGCCTTTCTGCATCGGAACTGTGTCTCTGCGTTGTGTGCCTCCAAGTCGCTTCCAACTCATGGTAACCCTAAGGTGATCCTATCACAGGGTTTTCTTGGCAAGATTTGTTTCAGAGGAGGTCTGCCATTGCCTTCCCCTGAGGCTGAGAGAGTGTGACTTGCTTAAAGCCATCGAGTGGGTTTTATGGCCGAGCAAGGAATCAAAACTACAGATTTGTAAAGTTACAAAACATACATGGCGACGTAGCATCTTGGCCCTTGTCATTTAAGATTCACATCCAGCTTTCACAATAAGCGAATAAAAAGTTTTTCTTTATTTTTGCTGGTATTCAAAAATACAGCCATGCTGTAAAACCAGTAGGTAAAGAGATCTTGTAGCACCTTTGAGACTAACTGACAAAAAAGTTGGCAGCATGAGCTTTTGTAGACTTAAGTTTACTTCCTATGCATCTGAGGAAGAGGTCTATGAAAGCTCATGCTGACAACTTCTTTCTTTCTGTTAGTCTCAAAGATGCTACAAAATCTCTTTATGTATTTCTTTGTGCTGTTTGCTTTACAGTGGACTTGTGAGTTTTCCTTGGGGTTAATCTCCAGCATGGATATTTTCAAAGAGAGAGCTGCTTTTTCTCCTGCCTCCGGCCCAACCCCTCCTGCTTTGGTGCAACTGAAAATCTTTTGCACTGGGCACAAAGCTAATCTAATTGACTCACAAACAGCTTCCTGAATACAAATTTAAGATTGCAATGTTCTATAGACAATGACTCTTGCATTTCCTTTAACTGATATGAATCTGTCACAAGCATCCCCCCCCACCCCTTCACCAAACTTTCTCTTTTAAAATCAAAGCAGAAGAAGCATATCTGTGAAACCTGAAAACCAGCTCAGTGTTTTGCTATTTTTATTCCTAGACTCATTGGCCTGTTGCAACAAAAAACAGTCCTTTTATCTTTACAGCACTGCAAGACTCTTTCTTGTTCTTGTTGTTCTGAGTTGGCTTTTACTATGCTGTTCCTGTTTTGAGTTTTCCTGCCCTCAACTATGACTCAAGACAGTGTTGGGGAGGATGTGCAGACAGGAACATGCAAGAGAGAGAAATAAAAGGTGTGGCCAGGGGTGTAGCTATGAGTTCTTGTGTGCATATGTGCTTTCTAGTCGTCATAAATTTTGTATGGTTTTCTTAGACAAGGAATACTCAGAGGTGGTTTTTCCAGTTCTTTCCTCTGAAATATAGCCTACAGACCCTGGTATCCATTGACGGTCTCCCACCCAAGCACTAATCAGGGCTGACGCTGCTTACCTTCCAAGATCTGACAGGATCTGGTGCCTTTTAGGCAAAATGAGAACATGGCTCTACCAAATAAGAAAAGAACTCTGTTCCCTCCAAATGAAATTTTCCTTCAGCCCTCACATTCCTAGAACTTCAGTGATTTAAAACTTTGCTCCAGCATTTAGAAATGCAGTTTAGGCAGCCAAAGAAAAGGGGCAGCCAAAGTTACCAAGGAGATGTGAACACAGCAAATAGAAGAGTTTGAGATGTGAACAATTTTCAGTGTCTGTGTCTCTCTCTGATCTGACCAATGGGCTATGACTCTGGAGGAGACCAGGGTTCAAATCCCAGTTCAGCCATGTAAACCCATTAGGTGACCTTGGGCAAGTCACACATTCTCAGCCTCAGAGGATGGCAATGGCAAAAAAAACCCCTTAAGAAACTTGCCAATAAAACCCTGCCTTAGGGTCACCATAAGTCAGAAATGACCTGAAGGCACACAACAACAAACAGCAACAACTCTGCAATGCTAGAAATTTGGGTACTGAATAAAAAAAATTATCAGAGAGGGTAGAACACTTATTTGGAGAAGCATTTCCCTCATTCCCCTCACCGCTTTACCTACACCCCTGGTGTATTCAGATATGCACAAGGATCTTGAGTCTTAAGGTACACAGCAGACCACTTCTGAAGACCAGTCATACACGACCAGCAGATAATGTTTTTCCTCAGAAGCAAGTGCGGTCAGAGAAGGGAGACTGTAGCATGAGCCATTCCCACCACATTCCCAAATAAGACATTTCCTCACACTACACCTCAGAGCCATCCTTGAATGTACACAATCCCCAAAAAAGGGAGTTGACACCCTTTGTGAAATGGTGGATAACGTATATGAAGTTATGTTGATTTGATTCAGCTAAAGGTTGGACCTTCACCACCTTTTCTCCACTGCAACTCCCAGCAGCCCTAGCCACTATAACAAATGGTGAGAAATGCAGAGAGTTGCAGCCTGACAAGATCTGGAGAGCCATACCTTCACATTCCTGCTTTAAGCAGATCTTTAAATGGGTAAAATAGCATTCTGTTCCAAAGTAGTAAAAGTACTGGACCAAGACATTTCACTGTCTTGAGGCAGAATAGTCAATAATGGTCCAGTTCACAAAAGTCAAGGTCCACAGGACCTAAAGCCAGTTAAGTTACTCTGGCACATAAAGGAGAAAATCCCACAAGGGTTCTCTTCCTCCACCTGCAGTAAACACAAATTAACAACAAAGTAAACTAACAATCTGATGCCTTTTCATGACAACCCCAAACCTGTTGCCTGAGACAGCCACCTCGCTCCACATAATGGTAGGGCTGGCCTTCGGTAGCAATTGCAACTATGAATTGAGCAGCATTAATTATTCCAGATTAATCACTTTAGAATAAAAGAGAATTATCTGACATATTTGAACATAAGAAATGTCTTAAAGGGCCACTGAGAAACTTAGGGCCTTTACAGATTGCCAGAAATAATGCAGCTTGAGGCCACTTTAACTATCCTGGCTCTGTGCTAGGGAATCATGGGGACTGTAGTTTATTGTGGCACCAGAGTTCTCTGACAGAAGGCTCAATGTCCCAGAAAAAAACTACAGTTCCCAGGATTCCCTAACACTGAGCCAGGACAGTTAAAGTGGCCTCAAGTTGCATTATTTCTAACAGTCTGTAAAGGCCCTTAGAGAGTTGTTGTTTAGCTCATTCCTTAGAGAGTTAGACTAAATGGTTTCCATTAGAGCAAGAAAATTGATTCTATGAAGTTTGCAATCTTCTTTTCGGTTTTGAGTTTTACAGGACAAATAGTGCAGCACATCCTTGGAGTCACAGGGGATATACACCAAAAGCAGGGGAGGAAAAAGTCACAAGGGAAAAAAGGCACCTTGCTCTCTTTTTCTTCCTGAGTCTTGTTGGAACTTGAGATTCCCAGTTCTATAAAAACCACTTGCCACTCCCAAGCCAATAGGACACCCAACCCTGTAGCCTTAAATAAAAATAATAAGCACTCTCCTTTAATATCACAACTGTCTAGTTGCACTGGAGCAACTATCACTGATTTGCAGTGGCAGCTGGTGTCAGGAGCTGAATCTTTTGGCTTGCCTGTCATGATGGTTTGAAGTGTTGGGCAAAAAGAGTATAGCTTCACTTGCTTGTTATTTGCTCTCATACTGACTACATCTGCACTGCAGAAATAATGCAGTTGGATGCCACCTGAACTGCCATAGTTCAATGCTTTGGAATTCTGGGATTTGTAGTTTTGTGAGATATTTAACCTTCTCTGTCATAGAGCTCTGGCGCCACAACCAAACTACAAATCCCAGGATTCCACAGGATGGAGCCCTGACAGTTAAAGTGACATCAGACTGCATTATTTCTGCAGTGTGGATACAGTACTGTTGTTAAATGATGAGACCTATAGTAGTGTGTTAATTGCTAGGCCACATTCCTTTGTGGTTAAAGAACAGACAGGAAGGGAGCTGAGGCTGAGCCAAGAAGATCCAAGGTCAGTTTATTGAGGTCTGGAGTGGGAGAAGGAGGCAAGAGTTACCATGGGAAAAGCGGTCGAAAACAATGTTTTGCTTTTGGAATAAATGAGAAACTAGCCTGCCTAAAATTTGAAATTGTGCATGGTTTAACTATGCTTTCTTAATGCTTGCTGGTTAGTTCTGAAAATAAACATCTATGGAGAACATCTATAGTTTCCTGAATAAAGGTTTTCTGTGTTTTCACTACTGAAGCCTGGATTTCTGAACTAAAGGGTTCCTGTATATGACAGCTGGTCACTTCCATGTTGACAGAGTGGCAAACATAGTCTGAACTTTAAAGGAGGTTTCTGCTCTTTGTGGTGGTTTTGAGTGTGGGACTATTGACTCTGGAGACCAGGGTTCAGTTCCCCACCCAGCTATGAAACCCTGCTCTCATGCTCAAGTCACACACTCTCAGCCTCAGGGAAGGCAATGGAAAACCTCTTCTGAACAAATCTTGCCAAGAAAGCCTTAGGGTTGCCCTAAGTCAGAAATGACTTGAAGGCACACAACAACAATCCATGGTGGTGCACCCTATCCCCTAAAACAGATCAACTCCTTGGATGCCTCCCTTAAAATTTGGGCTCAAACTTAGCATGGATTCATTGCCCCAATGACACAATAGACAGCACCCATGACTGCCTAGTTGACTTCTGCAACAGAGAGCCAATACAGTAGACTAAGGACACAATACAGTAATTCAAATCCACTTCCAGCCATGAAATTGGGACCAGTCAGTCATGATCTCCCAGCCTGATGTACTCCACAAGCAGAGATTGGAGAAGTTACAAGAAATCCCAGAAGCTCTCCACCACCACTATTGGCACTTGTACTTTGTGCAAGAATAACATGGGAGGAGAGTGGGTGGGGAGGGCTATATATGTCGCCTTGGGATGCTTGGAGGAAAGACAGAATGTACATGTAAAAACTGCCCCAAACCCTAAGAATAAGGAGCCTAAAAAGGCTGCACAGTAGGCACACTGCCCCACCCAGACCAGCCATGGAACCCCAGGGAAGATAAAATTACTGGATTAGGATTCAGGCTCTTGGGATTTTACTCCAATTTTAAAGAGCTGAAAAACTGGATTGGAAGAGTTTTTTTTCCTGTTAATTATTAATGAAGGTGGCAGAGACTTGGCAAGAGGGAGAGGGAGTAAGATGACTAATGCCAACTGTCTGACACAGATGGCAGAAAAAAGTGGCACCCATCAGGGAAACAGGGATACATTGCCTCACCCCTTCTTTTTTTACAAAGTCAATGGGGTAAGGGATTCTACTCAATACCTAAATCTCTCCAAACCAGGGAATTGTCCAGCTCCTCAGAGTTTTTGAACTCAGTTCCCAGTGCTCTTCACACTAGCTGTGCTGACTAAGGCTGAAGGCAGCTATAGTCCAAAAATATCTGGAAGGCTGCATGATCCCCGCTGCTGCTCTAAAGATAGGATTGGAACACATGAAATGCATATATATCATCTTCATATATAATTTCTCATCTAAACTAGTGGGGCCGCTTGCACCAAGATGTTATAAGGTGGAATGTGCCAGCCAGCCACATCCCTTTTCCAGGATAGTCCATTTCATTCCCCTCCCCACATTTTGAGTCTAATAAAGAAAACAAAAATAATGGCCACGAAGGGTTTACATAAATTCAACCTAGATAATGAGGAAATTGAAATAGTTAAAAGATTTCCCAAACTTTGGATCAAAAACTGATCAGAACAGAGTCTGCAGTCAAGAAATGAGAAGATAAGGAATGGGAAGGACAGCTATGAAGGAACTAGACAAAATCCTAAAGTGCAAAGATATACAATTGAACACTAAAGTCAGAATTGTTCAAGCCACTGTATTCCCCATTACCATGTACAGGTAGATGTGAGAGCTGGACAGTGAAGAAAGCAGACAGGAAGAAAATTAACTCATTTGAGATGTGGTGCTGGAGAAGGGTGCTGGGAATACTGTTGATGGCCAAAAAGACAAGCAATTGAATCCTAGAACAAATCAAGCCTGAGCTCTCTCTGCAAGCCTATATTACTAAATTGAGTCTGTCAAACTTTGGCCACATCATAAGAAGGCACATATTATTAGAAAAGACAATAGAAGGCAGTAGAAAGAGAGGAAGACCACACAATCATGGAAGTCGCAGGCCCAAATCTGCAAGATCTGAGCAGAGAGGATGAGAATAGAGGGCCATGGAGATGTCTCATTCACAGGGTCACCATGAGTCGAAGTCTGCTCAAACGCAGCTAACATCAACAACAGCCCCTCTCTCCAATTTCTAACAGCCATCCCATTCTGTGGCTATTAAATATGTTGTCGCTGTCATGTGATTTCAAATCATTTCTGACTCATGGCGACCCTATCACATGGTTTTCCAGTACTGAATGTGATTCACCTAAGGCTTCCAGTGGGCTTCCATGACCAAGTGGAGAATTGAACCCCGGTCTTCAAAGTTATAGTCCAATGCTCAAACCACTACACCATGCTGGCTCAGTCTTAACTGTCTTTTGTTTTGTTCACAAGTCGGTGAATGTGTATGTGTTTCTGTAAACTTTGAAGTCCAGCCAAGCCACCAGTTCCTCCTACTTGTGTGTAGGTGGTGCTGTTTTTGTTTATATAAGGCTTCACACATAGAAAACAAGCTTTCTGTTATTTCTCAAAAAACATTAGCATAAATCCTCTATATTTTTAAATGCTATTAACATATGTGTAAATACACACTCCTCATTACAGTCACGATTACATTTCTGTTATGATGAGTTCATACGTTGTTCACCAGTAAATTTCCGGGGTAGTTTCAAAGCTTGCATACTGTATGTACATCACATGTATACACAGCCATTACACATTAATGTTCTTATGTCATCTATGCACTAGGAAGAAAACAATCACACAACAAACAAATCTTTTGAGTAAAAAATTTGCATGTATAAACCCATAGATAAAACTACAGACACCAATTATGGAAATTATGCTTGTACGATACTGAAATGATTTCTTACTACTTTCCCTGCAATTTAAATGCAGCCCACATACAATAGCATTTACACACATGAATGTTTGTATGCATATATACAACATCTCACATCCATCAGATGAAGACAGAAAAAGCTCACTCTCTATTGGGACCAAGTGATATTTGGGCTTTTCCTTTCCTTGTTATGTCCCTTTGGTGAAATACAGTGGTTAAAAATGGTGCACTGGGATTTGGGAGGTCCTGGTTGAAGTCCCTTTGAGCCATGAAACTCACTGGGTGTAATCACTCTTCTTTCCGACTAAGCTCTCTTGAACGATTGTGAGGAGAAAGTAGGAGGACAGCCCTGTGTGCCATCTTTAATATGCTGAAGGGAAAGGTGTGGTAAAAATGCAACTAATAAAATATACATATAAATTCTAGCTGGTGTCCATCATTTCTTGGCATCTGAACATGCTTGTTTTCCTCTTTGCTCACTGCTTCTTTTGCCTTTTGTATCATCCCATTTGACAGGTACTGTCAGTCCTGGAATCAGGAGGGAGCTAAACTGTGGCCTGAACAATATCAATTATTCCAATGTAGAGTGGCCCTACCAAATCAAGTGCTGAATAGTGAGAAACATAAATTCCATTGATTCAAATTGGGACTAGCAACAGGATTCAGGCCTATATGACCTCCAAGGTCTTTTGTTGTTGTGTGCCTTCAAGTCACTTCTACCTTATGGCGATCCTAAAGGGTTTTCGGGAGTTTTTTGGCAAAATTTGTTCAGAGGAAGGGTTGCCTTTGCCTTCCTGTGAGGCTGAGAAAATGTGACTTGCCAGTGGGTCAGCCAGTGGGTTTCCATTGGGCAGCAGGGATTTGAACCCTTGGTCTCCCTCCCAGAGTCCTATTTCAGCACTCAAACCACTACAACTACACTGGCTTTCACCAAGGTCCTTACCAACTCCATTTTATTCTGTGTCTATTAATTATTAAGCCTACAGGCAAAAACTATCTTGAGTCTTAAGTTATGTAAATCCATTCACTGTTACATATAAGTAGGAAAATCTATCATCACAAGAATCCTTCTAGTTAAATAACATGACACCCTCCATCATCACAAGAATCCTTCTAGTTAAATAACATGACACCCTCCATCTAAAAAAGCCCAAATGCTTCCAGGTCAGTTTCCATGAATAAGATGGTAATTGAAGGGTTTGGGGTGTGTATGATCCTATCCTCAATAGACAGACAGCTTAATTCCTGTATGTAAATGAGTAAACTGTCCCATTACAAGGGCTTTGGGTGGATAACAAACAAGTACCATGAAATCCTATTAAAACTGAATAAAATGCAAAGACTAGACTCCCTCTGTGAAGCAAAAAGCAAGGATAATCAGATCAGTAATCATAATAAAGAGAGGGCGAGGGCTGTGTTGCAGTATACCCCTGATGTGCCTTCTCAGCATGCTTGTAGCTGAGGAGTGGTGAAGGATAGAAGAGCTTCAGAGACAGGAATCTCCCACTCTTAGTTTGATCTGTTCTGAACTTTTAAGCAAGTTAATGAAGCACAAGACAAGGAGGATGGAAATGAATGTTTGATTTGACCCAAGACATTTGTGGGGAGCAAACTGAGTATGCTAGTAGTTGCTGCAACCTGATTGATAGACATGTGTTTGTTTGTTTGTAAATGAAATCCAAACTAACCTGAACCCCCACCTCTGACCTGCAGTATTAACAGTGGACTACCATGCAGGGCCACTAAGTTATGCTCCCTCTCAGCACTCAGCACTGCTCAGCAACTTATAACAGAAGCACACTGCAGGATTTTCGTTGCATACTGCCGTCTAAACCAGCCTTCCCCAACTTTGGTCAGAAATTCTGACCAAATTTGGTCAGAGTTGTATTCCATATCATGTAGTAGAAGGTACCAGGACAGGGAAGACAGCTCTAAGTCCAGCCTACAATGGTAGAATAAAACCAGCTGATAACTCTGCAGGATTGTATCATGGCATGTTCAATCTAACTTGCAATTTTTATTTATTTATTTATTTCAAAAGATAGGATAAAATCTTTGCAGGTTCTATCATGGCATGTTCAATCTAACTTGTGATTTTTTAAAAACTTATTTCATTTATTTATTTCAAAATGTAGGATAAAACCAGCTGATAACTTTGCAGGTTGTATCATGGCATGTTCAATCTAACTTGTGGTTTTTAAAAATTTATTTCATTTATTTATTTCAAAATGTAGCATAAAACCAGCTGATAACTCTGCAGGATTGTATCATGGCATGTTCAGTCTAACTTGCAATTTTTATTTATTTATTTATTTCAAAAAGTGCCTGCTACAGAATCACTGAATCACAGAGTTGGAAGAGACCTCAAAGGCCAACCAGTCCACTCCCCCTGCCATGCAGGAATACACAATCAAAGCACCCCCCAACAGATGGCCATCCAGCTTCTGTTTAAAAACCTCCAAAGAAAGAGATTCCACCACTCCCCAAAGGAGTGTCTTCCACTGCTGAACAGCAATTACTGTCAGGAAGTTCTTCCTAATACTGAAGTGGAATCTCAAATATTTGTATCCATTATTCCGTGTCCTATTCTCTGGAGCTGCAGAAAACAAAATGTCTCCATCTTCAGCATGACATCCCTTCAAATATTTAAATATGGCTATCATGCCATCTCTTAACCTTCTGTTCTCCAGGCTGAACATACCCAGCTCCCTAAGTCTCTCCCCATAGGACATGGCTTCCAGACCTTTCACCATTGTAATTGTCCTCCTCTGGACATGCTCCAGCTTGTCAACATTTTTTTTTTTTGGAGAATCTAATAAGCTGATAAGAAGCAAAATAGAAAGAGTGATAACTCTCTTCTTTGGTGCTCTCTTGTGTGTTTAGTTTTGGTTTGGTTTTTAGCAGGAAAAGCTGGACATATAGTCCAGAATCCTGTTATTTACATAAGTTCCTCAACAGAAGGGTTAAGACATACCATCCAAGGCTGCAGAAGCAGAGTTGGTCATGATGTGCCATTGTTCATGGGTGCAAATTGTGCCCTGTGCATGGATACACACAGCACACATGGATATACATGCACATTTTGTGTCTTGGTTCAGTTGTGGAAACTTACCATCCAATTCAAAGGTTGTAGAGCCCAACTAGTATGTGATCCTCCATGCAGAGATTCACCCTAATTGTTTTAATTGTTAATGTCTTAAAAGTAGTGTCTTGATAGGATTATGAATTCATGTTTTTTTAAAGTTTTGTACTTCATATTGGTTTGGACATTCTATTATAATTCTATTATAATTTAGATTGTAAAAAGCTCTGAGGTCCAGAAGAACAGGGCATAAATCTAAATGTCTAATTAACCATTTGTAAGCCGCTCTGAGAGCCTTTTGGCTGAAGAGCAGGGTAAAAATACTCCAAATAAATAAATAAATGAATAAACAAGCAAGCCTAGACAGTCCTGATCTCAGCCACTGGTTCCCAATCCCAGTCCCATTGAAATACTGAATACTTCCATCTGTTTCTTTAGACAGCTCCCACTTCTGTCTTGAGAATTTTTATAGACAACTTCTCAGTTTGAACCAGGAACTGGTCTGGATAACAAAATAGTTCTCTATCCCCCTTTTATTTCTCTGTCAGGCTCTCATTCATTTCTTCCTTTCTAGTCTCTCTTCTTCCCATCCACTCACCCACCTGTTGTTCCTTTCCTCTAAAATCAATCAAATTTCAATGCTACTGAATTCCTATGAAGGGTGTAGATTTTTTGGGCAGTGTAGATTTTGCTCCATTCATCATATTATTTATATACCACATTTCTCCCAGAACAAGTCTCAAAGGAGACTTACAAAAGGCAGAACATTTCAACAAAAGTACATACAGTTAAAAACATATAAAAGGTGAGATTAAAACAGTATTCAACTAATAACTGAAATAAAACCACTTAATTATTGCTTTAAAACAAAAATGAAAGACAGTACAGCATCGTAAAAAGCCCTTCTCTCATTAATAATTGATTCTCAAAGGCTTTCTGGAGTAGAAAGATCATAACCTGCTGCTACAAAGGCACCAAAGATGGAGTCATCCTAGCTCCCCTAAGAACAGAATTCCAAAGTGTGGGAGCAGCCACAAAGAAGGCCCTTTCCCACATCCCCACCAAACTTATTCCTAAAGATTTGGGGGAGGGGGATTCGTACCTGTGTATATCAGTTCCTCCATGGTTGTTATGATTTTGGTTACACCATGGTAGATACTCTCTTCTCCAACAATGTTTTAGAAACATAAGATATATAGACACATATATAGTCCTACAGTCTGTTTCCCACAGTGGGCATCCATATGCTTCTGGGAGACCCACATTCAGGATTTGAAAAGCTATTTCTTTCAAATCCTCCAGTGGCAAATCACTGGGACAGTGAAAACTTTCTAGTTCATAATCTGATTTTGGATCCATCTGAATCTATTTTGAGGATATGGCTCAGCATCCTGGACAGCTCCTTTAAAGTAAAACTAGGACTCAGACCTGGAACAG